TAGAAAGTCTTCCGCTTGCTATTTACTTTATTTAAATGTCTTTTTTTGTAAAGAAAGTTTTTAATTCCTTGGTTTTTAGCGTCTATGCGATGAATGAATGCTAAGAGGCTTGTATTAGACCTCTTCAAGGTCGAGTACGCCGGTTACGACTAGGGGGTGCTCCCGGGTCGTGACAGTTGTTCTGCGGGGAGCTCAATCATTAGTCCAGAGAGTGCCCTCTTCGTAGGCCAGCCGCACCTGCTCCACAGGCAGCTAGATCCGCACCAGCAACATCACTTCAAGAGGAGGAATTCAAGATCAGGATCTCCGGGGTGGTCACTAGGGTACACGGGGAGGTCCCCAGGGAGGCAGGACATGTGGCCGAGTTGATGCGCGAGATAGAGGCGCCCAGGTCCACTTCTATGCAGCTCCAGCTAGAGTAGAGGCTAAGGCATCAGACATTGTGATTACATGTACGATTTTTTATGCCATCAGCCTGCCTCAAATTTATTTGATCTAGGCTCCACTATTTCTTATGTAATTGTATATTACGCTCCTCGGTTGAGTATGAGTATAGAGCTCCTAGCAGTGCCTTTTCATGTTTCGAATCCTTGGGTGAGTCTTTAGTAGTGGATTATGTATTTAGATCTTGTTTGGTGACTATTCAGGGGAGAGATTCCAAGGCTAGCCTTATATTGCTTGATATGGTAGATTTTGATATGATTCTGGGCTGGACTGGTTATGCCCTCACCATGCATTTATGGATTGCTACATGATGTTTGCGTATTCAATTACACAACTTCCAATGCAAGTGTCTACGATCGTGCAATAGTATAATAACCCAACCAAGGGTTGGGGTCGAGTCCCAAGGGAGTGGTTTCAAGAATTACTAGAAAAATAAATTTTAGTTCTAACTAGTCGTAGCTAAAGATATTAACAATTAAAATTATTGTAAATTAAAAGGGGGACGCAAAAGTGTCAAATATCGATTTGGGGGTTTTGTCACTAGTATAACAAAAACACAAAAATAACAGAAAATCAAGTATGGGGAAGAGTTCTTGGGGTGTAACCGCAATACAAGTTGAGATAAATAGATAGGTACATGCTTTCGATAGGAAATTTGCAAGATAATGGTGACTAGGCTAAGCTTTAATATGGAAATAAGTTTCCTCTCGGGCAACTTACCCCGTTCAAATGTGTTCCTCTCGGACACCCATTTGCCGCATGAAGGCCAGCCTACGCCTTACCCCACTCACTCTCTCGAGCTGAGTGTTAGGATATGGGACTAGGGCTAACCCTCACGGGCTGAACCTCATGTCCGACCCACTCCTTAGGCCATCAATCTAGCGGTCTTGGCTTCGCGACCTCCCTCTCGGAAAGCCGAAAACACATGGGTGGCTTTGTATTTAGTAACTACAAACCCATTAAATTAAACCAAAACCGCTAGGTGAAAATCACCATTAAAATACGTCTAACCTATCAGCAAGCAAAACCCAATAATAATATCAACACATGTTCGCTAAATCACACCAAAGAATGGGGTTTTTAGCCACAAATCAAGGGATACCAAAATACACCTAAAATGATAATGAAATCAAATGGGTATAAGAAATTAAACCTTAATTTAAGCAAAGGAAGAAGAATAGAGAAGACCCACTTCCACCTTGAGGAAGATGAACTCCTTTCTTCAAGTCTCCCACAAAACCCTCTCCAAACTTGAGAGAAAATATAAACAAGCTAATATTCTAAGTGTAAAATCTACAATAATGTTCGGACCTCTTAAACTAATAAATAGCTAGTATTTATAGTTTCAGAAATTAGTACTGTGGCGGATCATTCAGCGAGGTTAGTCGCGATCGCCGAATAACTTGGCGATTCACCCTTATTTTGGTTCATCGCCTTTTGTGCTTTTCCTTCAGCATGTTTGTGTTCTAGACCATTGGGAGGTATAGCGTTGCTTCGCGAAACTGTTCGGCGAAGCGCCGATTGCTCCTTTCATCGCCTTTTTTATCACTTCCTTCAAGGCTTCGCGTACTGGAACAAAGGGAGGAGTGCTTCCTTTCGGCGATTCACCAAGAGTGATTGGCGAAGCTCAGGCTTCAGTTTTTACGTTCTTTCCATCCTTTTTGTTCCTTTTTGCGCCTAAGTGTCCATGCTTCAACCAAAAACTTCAAATACCTGAAACTTAAGAGTTTTCATCAGATATTGAGACAAAATAAGCATTCGAGGACACTATTCATCAGATATTAAGATAAAATAAGCATTTGAGGACACTATTTATATTAAAATAAAGCCCTAAATGAGTCCAATTTGTGAACTTATCACTACACCAAGACTGTTCGTTACCTTAGCCATGCCTTGCATTCCTCTAGTGTTATGTCAGAGTGTCTATAGCCGCGCTCCTATGGGGATTATCTCTTTCATGTGGGCTCAGTGGTTGGTTGCTTCAGGTTGTCTAGCCTATTTTTCCCATGTGCGAGATATTAGTAGGGAGAGCCCTTCAGTTGATTCGGTTCCTGTGGTTAGAAAGTTTGCAGATGTATTTCTCACAGACCTGCCTGGCCTCCCTCCAGAGTGTGATATTTATTTTCCCATAGACTTGGAGCCGGGTACCTGTCTTATTTCTATTCCACCTTATCAGATGGCACTTGCAAAGCTCAAGGAGCTTAGTGTTCAGCTTGAGGACCTCGTAGGTAAGGGGTTCATTTGTCCTAGTGTATCGCCTTGAGGGTGGCCCAGTCTTATTTGTGAAGAAGAAGGACGGTCCTATGTGGATGTGTATTGCCTACAGGCAGCTGAACAAGGTGACGGTGAAGAACTGTTATCCTATGCCTCGTATTAATGACCTATTTGATCATCTTCGGGGTGTCGTAGTGTTTTCTAAGATTGACTTGAGATCCAGTTACTATCAACTGAGGATTACGGCATCGAACATCCCTAAGACCGCATTTAGGACTCGTTACGGCCACTATGAGTTCCTAGTGATGTATTTTGGGTTGACTAATGTCCCTGCCGCCTTCATGGACTTGATGACTTGTGTGTTTAGGCCATACCTTGATTCCTTCGTCATAGTCTTCATTAATGACATATTGGTATACTCGCGAAGCCGGAGTGAGCATGAGCAACCTTTGAGGATAGTGCTCCAGACTTTGAGAGATCAGTGACTTTATGCCAAGTTCTTAAAGTGCGAGTTTTGGCTTGAGTCTGTAGCATTCTTGGGGAACGTGGTGTCCAAGGAAGGCATTATGGTTGATCCGGTGAAGATTGAGACTATCTGTGATTGGGATAGGCCTACTTCTGTTACTGAGCTTCGTAGCTTGGTCGGATTAGCGAGTTATTACAGACGCTTTGTTGAGGGTTTCTCCACTATTACAACACCTTTGACTTGATTGACTCACCATGATGTCCTTTTTGTGTGGTTAGAGGAGTGTGAGTTGAGCTTCAGAGGCTCAAGGAGTTTCTTACCACCGTTCCCATTTTGACTCTTCCAATTGAGGGCGAGGGCTTCACGGTATAATGTGACGCATTCGGCATTGGTTTGGGTTGTGTATTGATGCAGTGAGGTTGGGTCATAGATTATGCATCAAGGTAGCTTGAGCTGCAAGAACGCAAATACCCCACCCATGAGTTGGAGTTGGTGGCGGTAGTTTTTGCGCTTAAGATCTAGAGGCACTACATATACGAAGTTTGTTGTGAGATCTACGCTGATCATAGAAGCCTTCAGTACATTATAAGCCAAAAGGACCATTATTCGAGGCAGCATCATTGCATTAAGCTCCTGAAGGACTACGATCTCTCTATTCTCTACCATCCGGGAAAGGCAAATGTAGTAGTAGATGCCTTGAGCCGAAAGGCGGTGAGTATGGGTAGTCTAGCCTTCCTTTCTATTTTGGAGCGACCTTTGACCTTGGACATCAGTCCTTAGCCAATCGGATAATTCGATTTGATATTTTAAATTCTAGACGTGTATTAGCCTATGTGGGAGTTCAGTCTTCTTTTCTAGATCGGATCCCTGGTCATCAGTTCGAGGATGAGTCTTTGGTAGTAATCATACATAGGGTAGTAGCATGTGATGCTGGCAGGCTACCTTAGATTCAGATGGGGTTTTGAGGTTTGCTAGCCGGTTGTGTGTTTCGAGAGTTGGGGATTTGATTCAGTTGATCCTTAGCGAGGCCCATGATTCTACATATTACATCCATCTCGGCACAACTAAGATGTATCGTGACTTGAGGCAGCATTACTGGTGGAGCGGTATGAAGAGAGACATCTCAGACTATGTGTCTCGCTGTTTGAGTTGCCAACAGGTGAAAGCCGAGCACTTCAGGCCTGGTGGTGAGTTTCAGAGATTACCCAGTCCGAGGTGGAAGTGGGAGTGTATCACTATGGACATCATTGTGGGTTTGCCTCGTGCTTCTAGAGGCGTTGACAACATTTGGGTCATCGTGGATCGATTGACAAAGTCAACACACTTCCTTCCCGTTCATACTTCTTTGAGTGCCGAGAGATTGGCTTGTACCTACATTCGGGAGGAGGTTTATCTTCATGGTGTGCCTCAGACCGGGGTTTACAGTTCACTTCCAATTTTTGGAGGTCTTTTCAGGAGGAGTTGGCACCTGTGCCAACTTTAGCACATCATTCACCCGCAGACTAATGGTCAGTCAGAGCGCACTATTCAGGTTCTTGAGGATATGTTGCGGGCCTTTTTTATGGATTTTGGAGGTCAGTGAGACCAGTTCTTACCTTTGGCGGAATTTGCGTACAAAAACACCTACCACTATAGTATTTAGATGGCCCCGTTCGAGGCCTTATATGGTAGGCTTTGTCGCTCTCCGACTGGTTGGTTTGAGTCTACGGAGCCTAGGTCACGTGGTACAGACTTACTTCAGGAGGCCTTAGATCATGTGAGGATGATTCAGGATAGGCTCAGGACGGCTTAGAGTAGACACTAGAGTTATGCAGATCGTAGGCGTCGGCCGTTGATATTTATCATTGGTGATAGAGTATTCCTCTGAGTATTACCCATGAGGGGTGTGACTAGATTTTGGAGGCGGGGCAAGCTTAGCCCCAGATATATCGGGCCTTTTGTGATTTTGAGGACAGTTGATAATGTTGCCTATGATTTAGCCTTGCCTCCAGCATTCTCAATTATTCATCCAGTTTTCCATGTTTTGATGTTGCGTCGGTATGTCACAGATGAGTCTCATGTGCTCCAGTATGATGGGGTTGGGTTAGATAATCGTCTGACCTATATTGAGGAGACAACTGCCATGTTAGCCAGAGATGTGAGGCAGTTGCGATCCAGAGCCATTCTTGTTGTTAAGGTCCGTTGTAGGCACCATCCAGTCGAGGAGGCTACCTGGGAGACCGAGCAGGATATGCAAGAGCAGTTTCCCGGCTTATTTAACCCTTCAGGTACTTCTTGACTCTTACTTTCACTAACGAAAGTCCTTTTTAGTAGTGTATGTTGTAATGACCCTCTAGGTCATTTTTGCCTTAATGCGTTCTTCTCATCGTTTAAATCATTCCTATAGCGACCCCAAGTCATTTATGACTTTCTGGAACTAACTGTTCGGTCTCCTGGTCGTTCGTTTGGGTTTTATGCCCTTTCCCCCGTTTTGGAGCTTTTGAAACTTGAATAGTTGACTTTAGTCAAACCATCAGGTAAATAACCTCAGAATGGAATTCTAACGCTTTCATCTGCTCCGGAGTGGTCATTTTAGGCTAGTGGCATGGGTGGCTCAAATCCCGAGGCTTTCAGTGTGAATTTGTGCCATCATGTGTTTTAGCTTTTAAGCTTTGGCCTAAGTTTGACCTTGGTCAACATTCTTGGCAAACGTGCTCGAATTGAAACTTCGTCAGCACGGTTATCTCTGAAACATTGAGTTTTGTCTAGAAGGACCTTTAGTTCGGGTCCTAAGGCTTCCGGAGTGAGTTTGAGCACTTAGATGAGATGTTGAAAAGCTTAAATGCCTAGAGTTGACTTTGGTCAACATTCGGAGAATTAGTTATCGTATGAGAATTTCGTCAGTGCCATTAGCTCCGAAATGTTGAATTTGGTCTAGTAGGACCATTCATTTGGTTCTTGAGTTCTTCTTTTTTATTGTTGGGTGTTTAGGCGAAAAGTTGAGTTTTAGGCCTAATGGGTCCCGAGGTGGTATTTCTACCATAACAATCTTTTTACGAAATCCAACAATTCCATTGAGTCTGAAATGTTGAATTTAGTGGGGTAGCACATCTGGTTTATTTTTATCGGGTACCGAATGAATCCCGAAGGTCCGTTCGAAGACTTTGAAAAAGAATAAAAATAAATTTGATATCTGGTGCAGACTTTTAGCAATCAGAAAATGTCTTTTTCGCGACTAGAAGCCCTTTTAGCGACCAGATCTGCCATTATTTAAAGTAAAAAATCAGCACTCAACCCTCATTTTCGAAACACAATTTATTTCTCATTTTAGCTCCGTTTTGGGTGATTCAAAGGCTGAGTTGCTCGAAATTGACGTGGCTACGCATTGGAGTGCTCGAGAACTGTTGGGGGACTTCCGTTTAAGGTAAATTTTGAGTTTTAGATATTGTCCTGTCTCCTTCGTTAGATTTATGGTGATTTAAAAGCATGAGCTGATTCCGGGCTGTTTTGAGCCACGAATTGTGTTCCATTTTGGGGCACAATTTTGGGGAGGTAAAATGAACCGTTTCATGGAGTCGATTTTGGGATTCCCGATGCAGGTCCCACAATCCCATTTTAGATCCGATTTTTGGTCCATCTTTGAAAAATGCGATTTTGGTGTCAAAACGGCGGTATTGATGTTGTCATTCTATTTTTGATAGAGTGGTAGCGTTCTGAGGCCGTACGGAAGGAAACAACTTTATCAACGTGATTTGGAGCGCCCGCAGTCGGGCTACAGGTAGGCTATGACTTCCCTCTCTTTAGATTGAGCATGATTATGTAATTTTATGTTGATTTTGTATGAATTTGGGGTTGAATTGGTGGTTAATCATGTTAAATTCCTAGAGTTCATGCCTTAGGCTGCTTTTCGGGTATTTTGGGTGGTTGAAGCATGTCTATTGTATTTGTTGATCATCCTCACCTTGTGGTGTGCCTTATTTGTGATTTGTGAATATTGTTGTAGCATGTTTGGCCTTAGTCTAGGCTTAGGCTAGTGAGTGACATAGGCTTGTGTCCTTTTAGAGCCGTTAAGCCTTGTAATCTCCCCGACATCGCATCAGATGACTTAACTCCCTATAGACTAATGTAGCATACTTGAGTCTGATAGTTTGGGCCTTAGATAGGCCATAACACCGCTCTTGGAACCATATATCCATAAATCCCCTATTTTCATCGGTTCTAGTGTCTCTGATTCTTGGTGTTAAAGCTACTCGTCGATTCTAGTTGGATATGGTTCAGGATAGAGTGATTTATTGATGGATGTTGATCTTATTTCTAGCCAATTCTCCTCTATTCATGGTTCAAGTCCCCCAGTTCACTCCAACAAGCGTGGTTCAAGCCCTCCTCTTAGTATTATAGCCTTGGTTCAAGTCCACCGCTCATTACAGCTTGGTTCAAGTCCATAGCTACTCTCACCTTGATTAAAGTCCTTGGTCATATTTATGTGTGGTTCAAGTCCACGATTATCCTTAGCCTTGGTTTAAGCCCTATGTTACTCCAAATCTTAGTTCAAGTCCTTGATCCTCCGTCTTCAATTCAGTTAAAGTCCTTAACCCCTATTAGTTCTGGATGAGCTTCAGGCATATGAATTGTTTGGTTCGAGTCCGTGGAAAGTTGTGGAAATCTTGGAAACTTCATCGGATCCTCTTATTCTATTCTAAACTCTTCCTTGTACCTGTCGGGCTTATTTGAATTTGCTCGGGTTTTACTATTAGCTTGCGCAGGAGTGTACCCATCGGGTTTATGGGATCCCGATCGGATTTAGTTAGTTATTCTCCTTTTCATTGTGTTAGTACACTCGTGTGCATACCGTTTAGATTTCTCATTCTTGTTTTTGGTTGTGTTTTAGATTCTCGCATTTCATATTACTTCTTGCTTAATCGGCATGTGAGGCCTACTGGGTACCTATTGTTTTGGTACTCATACTACACTCTACATCTATTTTCGTGATGCAGGTTCGAGCACCAGCTACCAACGTTGACATCGAGCGTGCAGTAGTCTGATCCAGAGACGGGGGTGAGCACTTGGCGTTATGTGTTATACCAGTCTGCATCTATATATAGTGACTTGTCTTTTTGCTTTTTGAGACAATATTATTTTTGTGGTCCACTTTTGGTCTTGTACTCATTTTCTTAGTAGCTCTATACATGTGACTTCTAGGTTCTGGGAGGGATCTTCTATTTGTATATATATTTTGGCTTGCTTCCGCTTCTTCATCTATGATTCATGTTATTTATGTTATTATTTTAGTTTGAGTTTAGTTTTCTGCCTTCAATCACATTACTTGTAGTTCCGGGATACGGGTTGCTTGCCTGCTGGTGGGTTATAGTAGGCGCCATCATGACTTGAGGAATCGGGTCGTGGCAATATAATTTTTATTTATAACTCAAGTAATTTGTATATGGTACCTTTGTGATTTAGCTATTGCGATAATATTAATTCCTGCCTTTGCCTCTAGAGGTTCTATTTCTTTTGATGTTTCTCCAAGTTTAGATTGTGATTTTAGTTCTTTGGTTAGGTGTTAAATGATTTATTGTTTAATCACATGTACTAATTATGTCTAGTGATCCTATAGTGTTGTTTTAGAATTTTGTTCTTTAAATTTATTTAATACACTTTTCGTATTAAAAGGGTTGATAGTATGATTATCAGATTGTTGATTTAAAATTATATCATTTAATGTTATTAAATATTTTCTCTTATAGTTTGGATCTTCAATATGATCAATTATTGTTACAACCCAGGAGTACCCCCTAGACGTAACACGGCGTACAAGACTCCGGAAAGCCTCATACAAGCCCTTAGCATATCATGAACATAAGATAATAGAAAAGTACGGAAAATTTAAAAAACTTTTATCCATACAATCGAAGTCATTTCATAAAATGCAAGTGGAAGTCTTTACTACACTTTTGCCTCAAACCATCTAATACAACTTTAGAATAAAACTCTTGGGACGTAGCCCATATAATAGTCTCAAAACATGAAATAAAAGACATAAAGGAAATAGTGGGTTTTTTCCTTGAAGCTATGAGGACTCACCAAATCTTCAACTCCTTAGAAACCTATCCTCCAAGAATGGAACTCAATCTCCGAAATCCTACATTTGATTAGAATGTAGGCAAAGTATGCATTAGTACAAAATGTACTAAATATGTTAGCTAGCATAACACCATAAGAGCATAAGATAAGGGTTAGTCAATATAAGACATAATCCAAAATCATATGAAACACTTCACGAAACATCAATTATAAGCATAAGAGACAATATAAAAAAAATAAGCAAAGTTTCCAACATAAGCATCATATAGGAATTACTCAACTCTTAGTCATTCACATCATAATAAGACCACTCTTAAGTAACCTCAAAGCATACTTGTGCAATGCATGCATGACATCCCATAATACCATCCAAGCTAAGTATCCCTTTTGGTCATCCTAAACATAGTCAATATTACTAGTCAAGATTTAGACTCTCATAAGTAGCTTCAAGTCATACTTATGTAATGTATGAGTAAGATCCCATAATCCTACTCACACTAAGTACCACCTTAGGCCATCACACTAATCACCTTAGGATCTCATCATTTAGCTTTACTCTCATAACCAAGGGAATCTCTCACCTTTAGTCAATACTAACAAGGAAGGCAACTATAGCACAATCCTATCTCAAGATACATCACTCAAAGAACACTTTCTTTAATAATCGTAAGTCAAACTTGTGCAATGCATGAATAGCATCCCATAATACTATTCATTCTAAGTACCACTTTTAGGTTCTCATACTAATACTTCTTGGTTTGGAACCTAGTTCCTCTCTTTAACTTTAGAACACTATGAGGTACTTCATTAAGCACATCTTAGTTCATTATTAGGTTGAACCCTATGAGACACTTCTTTAAGCATGTCTAAGTTCATTATTAACATGGATCCTATGAGATACTAACTTAAGCATGTCTAAGTCCATTTATACTCTTGAACACTATGAGGTACTTCATTAAGTAAGTCTTAGTTCATTTATGCTTTTGAACACTATGAAATGTTTCTTCAAGCATGTCTTAGTTAATTGGATATGGAGATTACTACTAGAAACCTTAACTCCACTATGTGAAGGCTTCCATCTCATGAGACCTAACTTTGGGAAAACCTACACTCTACTACATACGAGTTCCCCCTTTAACTTGGATAGTCCTCACATCAACTAGGTGTGGTCCTCCTTTCAACTTGGAGCCCGGACCCTATGTTGTGTGACACTCCATCTCATTGTCAATATCCACTTGGAGCTAAGCATACACCCCAAGATTCATTATTAAGCCTTGCTTAACATTCATGTCTCATGGAAGGATGTCCTTGACAATCAATCCATGTTCAAGTGATTCTATCACTTAATATATTCAAGCATTTATAAGATAGGTTAGGTGAGTATAGACTTTTCACCACAATTCTACCTACTAGACTTCTATTCATCACATTTGCTTTACTCTCAAAGCCCTAGTGATTCAACATTCATGACTACAAGCCTTACTCTCAAAGCTTTACTTCTTACTATCATCATTCATATCTAGATCACAAAACATTCAAGTCACAAGCTTCATCTTTAAGCAACTCTAGTCATAATTCATCACAGAGGTTCAATATCAACTTTACTTAATCATGATCCATCACATGTAATAAATTCTAGTTCAATTTATGTCTATATGATCCTAATCTTGAACAATTACTACATATGACATTAATTTTAGAAGATCAATTCTAATTCTTCAATTTCACCTTTCATGGCATAAACTCATAAAATCTCAAATTCATCAAATAGACTAGGGTTCGCCATGGAAATCACATAAATTCATCATAATATAATAATTCAATGCTAAATCAATCATAATTAAGTATCATCCACTTGATTGGAATCAAACTTCAACACCACCCACAATGTAGGAAGAAACCCTAGCTAGATTGGGGTTTGGTCTTCACAATTGGGGGAAACCTAGGGGGCTCTATGGGTGGAAGAACCCATATATGAATAAGCTAACATACATGGGTTCGCCATGGAAATCACATAAATTCATCATAATATAATAATTCAATGCTAAATCAATCATAATTAAGTATCATCCACTTGATTGGAATCAAAACTTCAACACCACCCACAATGTAGGAAGAAACCCTAGCTAGATTGGGGTTTGGTCTTCACAATTGGGGGAAACCTAGGGGGCTCTATGGGTGGAATAACCCATATATGAATAAGCTAACATACATTGATTCAAAGCCCTAACACAAGCTTGAAACAATTGAGGAAATATGTTGTTGTTGTTGTTGTTCTTCTTCTTCTTGGAAGAATGATTTAATTCACTTAGTTTAGGGGTCTATTAGGCTTATATAGGTGGTTTAATAACTAACTAATCGACCTCCCTTAACCCCTAACTAATTACCAATTAACCCCCAAGTCCCCAACTTAAAACATTTTAACTACATGCAGCCCCTACCTACGAGACCCCCACCCACGGACCATGGGTGGGTCTACTGACCGTGCTGCAGCTCCGTAGGTGGAGGTCTGCAGCTCAACATTGCAGGAAAAACTTGGCCTTGACCCACGAACCCTTCCCACGGGGCGTGGGTCCATCTACTGGCCGTAGATGCCCTTCGTGGGAGGCTGCTGTGTTGGATAGCTTTTGGGCTGTTTTGGGGTCCTCCTCAAGGACCCCTTGGGTGGTCCTTGGGGGGTCGTACCTTGACGCCCTAACCCTAAAACCCTCATTCTAAGTACGAAAATCATTTTTACAATTGTAACCCTCATATCAAACTCCAAAATTCTAACACAAGACTCTAGAACTCTCTAGTTTAGCTCACTAGTTTCCGGGGCGTAATAATTATATCAAATAAAATTTCTTTACTATTACTGGTAATGACATTAATGGAGTGACCTTTGCAGGTGCATATTGCACTACCACATCCACATTCTATTGAATCATTATTGTCTGAATTATATATCATTTTAAGTTGGTCATCATCACTAGGACGTTCTCAAGAAGAAGAGCTATTTTCATTCTCTTCAAGAATCGAATATAATTTATTTTAACTTCATCCTTTAGTTCTAAGATATTTGTATTATCCTTTTTTTTATTAGGGACATAATAATATCTAGCTCTATCCCCTATTTTTCTATAGTTCCAACACTTATCAGTGTTGTTTTATTTGATTCACCTTTATCATCTGGTTTGAATTTTCTAATTTTTTTTTATAATAATAATTTTTTTTTGGTTTATCCTTATAGTATCTACATCATTTTTAATTCTTTTTGAAAAATTCTTTTGAAGGGACAGATAATTTGATGTATCCAAAGTCTTGACAAAATTTTTAAATTCATTTCATGATATTTTGCTATCTTTTTTCTATTGATATTTAATAATGAATTTTTTTAGGTTTATCCTTATAGTATCTACATCATTTTTAATTCTTTTTGAAACATTCTTTTGAAGGGACGGATAATTTGATGTATCCAAAGTCTTGACAAAATTTTTAAATTCATTTCATGATATTTTGCTATCTTTTTTCTATTGATATTTAATAATGAATTTTTTTAGGTTTATCCTTATAGTATCTACATCATTTTTAATTCTTTTTGAAACATTCTTTTGAAGGGACGGATAATTTGATGTATCCAAAGTCTTGACAAAATTTTTAAATTCATTTCATGATATTTTGCTATCTTTTTTCTATTGATATTTAATAATGAATTTTTTTAGGTTTATCCTTATAGTATCTACATCATTTTTAATTCTTTTTGAAACATTCTTTTGAAGGGACGGATAATTTGATGTATCCAAAGTCTTGACAAAATTTTTAAATTCATTTCATGATATTTTGCTATCTTTTTTCTATTGATTTTTAAGCTTCATATTTGTTTATAATTTTAATCCGGTAACATTTATAAAACTAATGAGGTCACTAAAGGTTATTGGTTATAAGGAACAAGTGAACTTATCCACGCTTCACACGGTTATAA